CAAAAGATAAAATCCGAAAGTGGTGTAAAAGAAGTGAATTCATTGGGAGGCATATTCCACTCATTACTGCCGAAATCAAGACGAATTGATTCTGGTGTATCAAATACTGCTGAACCCGAACGACGAGTTGTTTGTTACTATCAGTATCATCCAACTTTTATCTCTGATGGTGTTCATTATAATTAGTGATCCTAAAATATCAGCTAGAATGCTGGCGTGAGTAATCATCATAGAAATCTGCATCGCTTAAAACTCCTCAACATCCTACTTCCTTAATGCACCATCCATTGAATTTTTCAGGCTGAATTCATGAAATATTGATATGTCTCACGGTCCAGTACCAGTGAAACTATATTAACCACTGAATTAAGGTCACATGATCTGATTTCGAATATTTCCTAAGACAACAGAGGCATTTGCTGGTAATTACTGGCCGTAATTAATCTGGTATGTGCCTTAGATCGGAAAGAAAATGTTTGAAGTTTCAAGGTAATGCTGTCGTCATGACATTTTCAGTCTCATCTGAAATCATCACCCACTGTAAACGAACAGTGGCAATCAATTAAATCGCCTTCCTATTGATTTGAACCGATCAGCTTCCAGGATTTGTTTTCATGCACAATCCTTAGTTCTTCTGAGTTGAATGAATGCAAGTAAGCCCACAAATGTATGGAGGGCCTGATTTGGTGGAAGGTATTTGGGGACGGAGTTAATATATAGTCAATTATTTCTCCCTTAGTTACTGTCCGGCTGCGGTGAACTGACCAACTGCCACTGAAGACAATACTTGAACAAACTTGAATTGGCAATTCTTTTCAGCCCGGAAGTGAACTGGTAGAGACAGTGGTAATACCCATACCTTCCGTGTGATTGATCCAGTGTCCAAATCCCCGAGTGTGAGGATAGAAACTCACTACTAATGAATGAATAATTAGATTAAAACTCAAGCCTAGCTCTTCATGAGTGTATGATTACCTAGATGAACGTAATGCTGAGTGTAAAGGTAAAGTCTGAAGGACGATAGATTCAAATTAACCGAACTACCACCGTAAGTTAAGTGCTTCCACAATAGGTGCAAGATATGCAGGCGGTTTGCTTTATGGTTGATGAAACTATCTGTTTAGTACAGGCATTCTATGATTCAGTTAACTGTCTTGCGATAATTTCGGGGTATGATAGTTTGAAAATTACTCTGTAAATCAACAATTTGCAACAAATTAGATTTTTCCCTCATGGAAGTGGAGCTTCGCCTGAGGTAAACTTTTCATGCACGTTAATAAAGGTGTTAGATAAATCTTAAACCGAATGCTATCAATCAAAATCATTTGAGGATTTCGCTAATTGTTCCCATTGTTCAGAAAAAATCGTCATTTTGGTTAACAGGGTTGTGTTGCCTTTATTTTATTGTCACTTTCTTCAAACTGATGATATTTTCAACCCTACAAAACATAGCTATAGACCGCAATCATCTACCTGAAAGAGTTATTAAGGTAACATAATGTGTTTACGACCCATTATTCACTCATTTTGAAGGAATTTTGGTTTTAGTTCACTCATACCAGCCATTTCTCGGCAAGAGCAGAGCTGTATGCTACCGAGCGCGTCCCCAAGTTGCGGATAGGCAGACGGCCGCTAACTGGCGGTTAGCTGTGAGTAAGATGGGTTTATTCTCGCCGAACAAGAGGTCGCGGACTATGAGCGGCAGTGATCGAGGAAGTGGTGGGTTCACCACTTGGCAAGGGTTCTCCACACAAAACACCACAAGTATCTTATAATAGCGCTGTGACGTGGTGAGTGTAGCCCTCCACTGAATACGGCCATTGCTCCCTTGTCGAATTCCATCTACCCGACAAGGTCTTCCAGAGAAGGCGAGTAAATCAATCGACCAGCCACCAGCTTATCTGGAAAAACACTGCTACCTTGTAGCTCGCGCTTGGTTGCATAAAGGCTAGAGTGCATCCTCGAACAAGGCCTACTCTGGACTGGGTGACCGAGTAGTAAAACAGCCCACAATGCAAACAAAAATGAACCTCAGCTTAATCAATAACTCGTTCTTTCAGTTCTCCTCGCGCATGAAAGACCGCTTTACACCGTGCACATCTTCCTTTTTCCAGTTTTTCCTCCACCTTACATTCACTCCCTCAAACATTCCAATTAGTATCAAGATCTTCAGAAAATCGTACTAGTTGTGCCTCCGATGGAAATACCATCCCTTTTTTTACGCGTCCTGCCTCGAATAGCGTCCAAGTCTTACCGGATTTTTCTCCACCAATTAGAGCTCTTCTTTGTCCTCGAAGCCCATTTAAACTAGCTACATTTAACGTCCGTACCTTGATGCGTATAGGACAACAGGTGTATTTAGCTCGTACCCTCGAGAACCTAGCCATCGATGTGTTGTATCCAAGAAACTCGCATTCAAGACTCTGGCTCGCCATCCGATTGACGTCCCCGTTAAATCCCTCCGCGAAATGTCACCTGCGTCTTTTCGGGGGAGCCTGAGACTACGGCTTCTGGTCTTAGTGGCGTTGGCGAAGCTCTTAGTGAGAGAGCTGAAGCCGCGCTCCTGGATTGGATCCCAGTCATCAGTAGGTTATGCGCAGTGAGGCTTAGAGACTCGTGCAAAATAAATAGTCGTCGATCGGAAAGACGCGAATTGTTTGTCGTCTCAGCGTACGCACCCACGAACTGTAGCCCAGAGTCAGTCAAAGATGCTTTCTACCAAAAGCCACACGAGCTCTTGCGTAAGGCAAATCGGGCTGATAACGTGATTTTAGCAGGAGATATGGGTGCTAGAGTAGGCTGACTGACTTCGAGTAAGGCTCATCTGGGTGGTCCTTTCGATCTAGATTCCTATTGCTCGGAAAACGGGATAAGGCTGTTAGCTCTATGTTCTGATAACCGCCTATTCCTCGCTAGTACGAACTTCAGACGCTCCAACTGCCAATACTCCACCTGGCTTCCACCCTCCTCGAGTCACCGAAAAACGCAGTTAGACCACATCGCTATAAGTCACAAATGGTGGGGTTGCATACAAGACTGTCGATCGGACTGGAGCACTACTCTCGAATCCGATCACGCGTTAGATTGCACCAAGCTATCCATGTGCTTCGATGAACGTCCTAAAGGTACGACACAAGGGCGGTTAGACTACGATAAGTTGTCTTAACCAGCATGCTTCGCGTCCTTCACAATGCGCTAACTGATAAGCTGGAACCAACCCCATCTGTTAACATCAGGGAGCACTGGTCGCTTATCAAGAATGCTGTGCATTCTGCTGGTTTAATTAGTTGTGGTCTGACACGCCGTGTCGTAACACCCTGGATTTCCAATGAGTCTCTGTGCCTTCATGACGCACGTCGGCCACTTCCGACCGGCAGCGATCATAACGTAACACGCCTTGTAATCAGACATAAACTTAACGTAAGCCTACGCAGAGATCGCGAGATCTGGTGGCCTCAACGCNGTCTCAACGTGCATCAGAGATGGAACGTGCTGCCGTCATGGGAAATTCCCGTAAGCTGTTCCATCTCATTGGAGTCACCGGTAGGAAAACTTTGAGTGTGATAGAGACAATCTATGTAGCTGACGGCTCGCTTATTCACAATCAACAGGGACGTCTTGAACGCTGGGCGGAGCACTTCAAAGCACAGTTTAGCTGGCCACCAGCGTCAGCTTCTCCCACAGCTATTCCGGCACACGTCTAATGGTCTGTTTCAACAGACCCACATTCTGAGGTGGAAATCTACAAGGAGATCCAAGCCTTGGGACATCACAAAACGCCGGGATCCAATGGCTTTCCCCAGCTCTATTTAAAGATAGTGGAATAAAGCTTTTTAGAACTGCACGTCCTGTTCTCTAAAGTGTGGAACACTGGGCAAGTCCCCCCTCCCTCGTGAGGGGAGTAGATTGTCGTTCCCATCTTTAAAAAGGTTTC